TATATATATATATATATCTCAAATCAAAAAGAGAGGGGCTTATTGCTAAGCTGTTCTCTGATACTGTAGGCCAGTACAGAAAGATTGAACAATGCATACTGAAGTATGGGTTATGCAAAATTTGCAGATTATTGGATAATTCCCAAAACAGCAATAAGCTTTGTTTTGTGCAACAGTTTCACTCTTCATGCATTTTCATCAGCACGGGCTTAATGCAGTCAAGCTGGAGCCGCCGAAAGGGTTAACTAAACCCCATATAAAAGAATGGTAATAACAAATCCAAATATGGTGCATAAGGACATAGTAAAAGTCAGAAAGACAGTAGCATAGTGTGATGTGCATACAAATTAGGTCCATGGACGCTGCAGCTGTGCTTCTATAATGGTTCAATACAACACATATGCAGTGCTAAAAATTTGTTCTGCTGCAAGTGGAACTAAAAACAAGGAGGCACACATGAACCAAATAGCACCCTTGGATATAAAACTTTACATTTAAAACAGAAGTATTGGGAGAGCAAAATGTGCTCTTGCCAATACTTAGGCCTGGTTCACACCTGTACGTTTTGTAGCGCGTTCAACGCTCTACGAAACGCTCAAACATGAAAATTCCATTGTTTTCTATGGGTATGGTTCACACCTTGCCGTATTTCAGCCCGTCTGAACGCGCTACAAAACGGCCTACGCCTAAAAAGGTACATGAGCTTCTTTGCGGCGTTTTTGTCACGTGTTTCCATTGGGATACAGCCAAGTAGCAGTCGGAAACACGCGTTTGTCGCGCGTTTTTTTTCCAGCGAATCGCAGTAAAAACGTGCGTCACGAAACGAGCGACAAACGCGCATATTCGATACGCCTAGGTGTGAACAGAGCCTTAGAGCCGGTGTGACACTGCAGGTGTCCCACACCGGCTCTAGACAAGGGAGATGAGTGATCACGAACCGCGGATCGCTCAGCTCACGGTCTTCTCCCTGCAGAGAGAGCAGTGACCATCAGTTAGTAAATATACTCCTATAACCCAAAAGAGGACTAAAGCCATAAAAACAGGTTTGGATTTAGTTTCCTATTAAATCTATACAGTGGAGTCAAATGCATTACAGTTCTATAAAATATTTACCCTTTCATGACCAGAGATAATCAAGTCCTAGCTGTCCAGGTCAAATACAGCAGTATTAGTATATACCAGGTAACTTGATTCTAAATCTATGATTAATTGGCTGGCATAAATCATTGTAATTTTTTCTTAAAGGAGACATAAGGTTTTTTTTTTATTGAAGGTTTGCTCTTATTTTTTTATTATAGGCTACAAAATGCACACAAATTGTTAAGTGTATAACAAGTTTTTTTTGTAATACTGTAATTGTATCTATAAAAACAGGGACTGTTAATCTGCAGATTAAAAGTGGAAATGTTTAAAATACAAATATATAAGGCTCAAATCACTAATATGAATTAGTTGTTTTAATACCATTTACTTTTATGAAATCTTTCTCCTGAACATTCAATTTACAAACAAAAGAAGGCTTAGTTCTTTATTTTCTAACACAACAGGAATTTAACCATTAAAAGCAATTTCTCATGAAGCACTATTTTATTAGCCCATTAAATGCTTGCTATTTGTGTTCTCTACAATTGTTTTTTTACACAAACTTACTGCTAACCTGAAGTTAGGGGTAAATGAAAAAAGTGATAACCTGGACAATAAGGTTTGTGAGTTTCCTTTACAGTCAAAATACCTCAAAATTTGATAAAATACTAAACCTGTGCCGTATCCAATAGATGTGTGTGATAACGGCTACATTTAAAAATGTTTTTTTAATTGATAAAAAGCAAAACAAAAAATAAAATACTGCAAGAATTATGCTTCTATGAATTCAGCTAAAAACCTGTTCAGATGCATAGAATTAAACTTACTGGTTCCATGACATTCAAAGAAGGGGTGAACACCAGACTGTCAGTACTTCCTCTTCCTCCATACATACCCTAAACAGAAGAAAGCTCATTAAGGCTCACAATTTATAGTCCAAAATTAAATTTCATTAACAGTCCTAACTAATCAGGTAGAAGATTTAAAACAAAATCTTACCATAGCCACCTGTCGCTGGAAAGGTGAGGAGATGTGGTAATTGCGGAGTTGCTCCTCAAGAGTCAGCAATCGCTCATCCAGCTGAAGTTCTAACTCCTGCAGTTCCATTCGCACAGAATTCCTCAGTCCCTGCAGCTGATCTGCCTCATACCTGAAACAAACAAACTGAACCTTAAAGAGGGGTTTTCAAGTTGAAACACATTGAAAGTCTGTCACAAGACAGTTGGTAATTCAATTCCAGGGGCCTCCGCACAGCTGAACAAAGAAAGATCTTGGCAACATTTTTTGTGATGTATTTGCTATGTTTTGAATTTTACAATGCTTTACTATACAGAACAGGTCTCATTTAAAAAAGAAATTGTGCAAAAAGGTAAAATCTAACAATGGCAAAAAAAAAAACACAACCTATTACTAGTACATTTCCTTCTTTGCAGCTGTAACCACCCCAGCAAAAGGTATACACTGAGTGGCCAGTATATTATGACCACCTGACGTTTGTAGGCAAATTATACCAAAGTAGACCATTATAAATAGGGAAGCAGGTTGTTTACCACGACAGTAGAAGTGATTTGTTTCTGAAGATATGGGTAAACAACGCCATTTAACAGCCTTTGAAAGTGGGATGATTGTTGGCGCTCGGAGCCATGGAGCGAGCATCAGCAAAACAGCAGAATTAGTTAAATGTTCAAGAGGGGCTCATTGTAATATATTTAACAAAATGAAAGTTATAATATGGTGCTTTTTAAGCTCTGTCTAAAAAATATTAAAACCAACCAAAATAAACTACTGCGGGGGGGGGCTGCTCTAATGTGAAAAGTTGTACATAATAGATCTGTAATACCATCAGTATTAAAAAAAAAAAATGACAAGACCATACAACTTTCTATTTGAGAAACAAGTTGCGAACATACATAAACCAAACATTTTTGTGTTGAGAATATTAGTAGTAATAGAGATATAGCATCTTCCAAACCGCTAATAAACCAGATCCAAATGCTATAAAATGGATATGCCTGCTCCAAGTTGAGTAGACCTCCAACAGCAGGTAAACAGAATCAGGGAAATTGTAACCACAAATTTAAAAGGTATTGTTGCGATAAAGCTCTGCAGGCAGAAGCCAGCCAAGTTGGAAATGTATTATATTAATCCATTTAGAATATTGTAATCTTACGGAACAATTTGTTCTGTTATACCGTGCATATTAGAGATCAATGTGGAAAAACTTTGCTGCAGAAGCCGTTTTAGACATAAACCACCAGAGTTAGAAAATATACTTATTCACTTAGATTATATTACCCAGATATTACTCAAAGGCTGCTGAGTGTTTGAAAAGTAAATATGAAAATATTGCTTGAAAAGTCACTGCAGACACAGACCGCTAGAGTAGGGAATAAGGTAGACATACACTCTGCATACACTATTGAGATGTCAATAAAAAAAAAAAAGCTGCAGAGCAATCCTTAGTCTAGCACGAAGTATCCTTGTAATCCAAAGAAATGATTATGTAAATAAATGGTGCTAGATATCCTCAGAAAGACTGAGTTGTCTAATTAGTGTAATCTGAAGCAATAGTGACACATATGCAAAGTAGCACAATATAAATATAGAAACAGTTTTCAGAGATATAACTGGGATATTGGCACAAGGCAATTCATGAACAGAAATTGGAGACTGAATTAACTAACTAGGCTCTAGGTGCATTAAAATGTATTATCTAGAGGACTACAGTTCAGCTTTAATCTGGATAAAATGTTTTAAAATAAATTTTCCATTTGAAATGCGTTACTCATTTTGATGTTATAAAGTTCAACCATTGCCCATTTTTAGAGCGCTGTATGTCTACAGAACCTAGCTACATTTCTAGCATACCATGTCCATTAGACATTCTTCCCACACATGACATATCTCTCTACTTCAGCCAGTGCGTGAATTTAGACAGGAATGGTGCAGTGTCTGTCCAGAGGCTGCCTAGACTGATGAAGTTTAAATAAGGAATCCCAGCTTTGCGAGGAGGGATTACAGTATAGAACAGAGACATGTGGGAAGGATGTCCCAGAAGAGACACAATAAGGCCAACTCTCATTTGAGATCCTGGTCAACTATTGCTATGAAAGGAAGTAGCTCTTCAAATCAAGGAAAGGCACATAAGACGTTTCAAAAGGGCAATATATTCTAAGTAAAGTTAGATCTGAAAGCGTGCATTAAACTAATTGATAACATAATTGAAGTGGAACATGTCCTTTAAGGTCAAATGTATCATCCCCACAGCCTCTTCTTCCCTGGGCTCCAGTGGTCTAAGGACTGATGACCTTGTCAAATACAATGTAGGTTCCATAACCCTGCACTGTACGCAAGCATGCAGTCCAACGCTAAAGAAGAGGTGAGTGTTGACCGCCAGGTGAGAGGAGATCAGGTAAGTAAAACAGCTTTTTCCTGTCCTCTAGGCATAAACAAGCAGTTCACCATTGTGGTGTGGGGGAAGGAAGCACGACTGCAAGGGAAAACTTCTATTTCCCTGGAGTTGAGCGTTAAAAAGATCACCCAAGTGCAAACAAGGTTCATGTGTGATCTATGCAAAGAAAGATCAAAAGGTATAGACTGCATCAAAAGGATAACGAACAAATGAATGACAAATGTTAAGAAACCCTGCCACACATTTTAAAGTTGCAAAAAGAATACTGTGCAAAAGTAGAATGCCATTTAAGAGGAATGGCCGCTTGAAGTCTGCTGGGAAAAATGACATTTTCAGGAGTGTCTCTTGCACTCAATGGTTCCTCCAGTGACTACAGCAGGGGGCCAGGAGATTGACTTGAAGTGTTGGTTTCTTTGCAGACTCTGGGTAACCATTGCTCTTGAACACAACCATGTTTGGCAGTGTGGGCAATATATATTTACAGTCACAGTTTGAAATTCATGACAGGGTCACTTTAAAGCAAAGTAATACTTTTGTCCCTTGAAGATTTAAAAAAACACAAAAAAAAACAAAAACGCATGCTTTACCATAAACTACCCAGCCACTAGAAAATAATCTGCCCAGTACGCCAATGAACTGTGCTCCCATATCAGTTAGGAAAAGCTGCTGTGTGCCCCCTTCCTCAACACACAAGAGGATCATGAAACTAAAACGAACATACAATCCATCCTAAATTTCTCCCCCAGAGCAGTGGCATCGCTAGCAGTCAGTGCTGTCAGGATGACTGAAAGTGGTTTTGCTGGCACACGCACAAACACGTAAACTAACATAGGGGCACTTATTCAGTACAAACTGCTGTTGCAGCCACTTGCTGCTATCTTTGCTTTCATGGCTACAGTTCAGAATTGGCAGATAAAAAACGTCTAGTGTCTGCAAACACACAACACAGTGTAGCTTATTTGTCAATGAATTTGCAATATATTCCGGGGATTTAAAGCCACCTGCACCATCAGGATACACAGATATTTAGAAAGAGGTGACATATGTGCAACAAATCAACTATGTGATATCTTTTGTCCCTTTTGAAAGATGAAATTTTAGACCTAGTCAAAGACAAATTCTAGAAGGTGCAGCTTCATTTCTGACCACTAGAGGGAGGCATTTACAAAAGATTGCTAACAACAGAGCTAAAAAGAAAAGATCTGAACCAGAAAACCAAACTTGGAAAAACGTTCCTGCATGGGAAATGGTTATTGGGAGGCCATGACTGTCCAGATATACCGCGTTTCCCCAAAAGTAAGACCTACCCCAAAAATAAGACCTAACACTATCTTCAGGGATTTCTGTAATATAAGACCTACCCCGGAACAGCCAGGTAAGACATCCCCCGAAAATAAGACCTATTGTCTTTTTTCGTAGAAAAAAAAAAAATACAAGACACTCTTATTTTCGGGGAAACACGGTAGGCATAATATAGGCAATAAAGCATTTTACGTTTGGACTGCTGGTGAGGGAGTCTGTTTTTCACCTCTCAAGGTAGCATTTACATTGACTTTCTAGTCGACATGTTGGACCACCATAGTTTAAAAGCACTTGGCCTTTATGACTGGATACCACTTTTACTAACCCTTTGGGAAAGAGTTGTATTTAGTACTTTATGTAAGAGAAGTTACTTATACCAGTCGTAGCAATGTTTTATCAAAATAAGTTGTGCCAAAAAGGTTGGCATAATCACAGTGTTTGTATAATGCATAGGTTCTATTTGTAACATTTCTTATTAGGTTCCCCCTAAACATCTTGAATTATAGTTTAAAGAGAAGCTCACCTCTCATCTTCAGACAAATGATGATAAACCATAGTCTGCTGCCGTAACATATTCAACTCCAAATCCATCATTTGTGTGCGAAAGAGATTTAAACTTCTTCTCATTATCTGAAGTTCCTGGAAAGTATTCTAAAAGAACAGAAAAGATATGAATAGGTGTCTTTATTTACACTTCAAAGATAGATAGCCACTTTGCACCCATCAGGCACAGAACTTACTTCATAAAGCGATAAGATGGATGACCTCTGGGTGTTAAAGATGCCAGCTGCAGCCATGTCATTCCCCCGCATTACTGGGTGCTATGAAAATAAAAAAAAAAGACAGCCAAATGCAAGTCAGAAGTGAATAATGATATGGGGTCTCATATGGAAGGAAAGGACGTAAAAATTTTTTTTTTTTAAATCCACGTTTCCAAACACATTCCAAGCATAACAGCCAACACACCAAGGGCCGACCTTGAAGTTAAACTGTGGTCAGGCTATGAACAATAAAGTATTTTACGTGTTCTTAAAAGGCAGTAAATGAGCTTTAAAACAAGCCTTCCCTGACCTCTGTAGCTATAGATGCTGTGGAGCAACCAATCCTCAAATATCACAACAGAAGCAATGATTTAGATTGCTCTCTTAGTAGCTCAACTTAGCCTGTTCCCCTCTACCAAATCTCCTGTTCTGGGTTTATAATAGACATTACAAAAGGTGCCAAGGAGGGAGCAGGGTAAGATGAGCTGGTGGGAGAATGACTTTGAGCAGAGCTTCTGTGAGGATAAATTTCTCCAAAGTGACTACATCTACAGAGGTCAGTGGGTTGTTTTAAAGCTCATTTACTTCTTGGTAATAATACGTAGATATTTAACCAATGTCTAATGTCTAATACAATGCTATTTGAAAATAGAAGCAGCTTTCTTAACTTATACTGCATGCTCTTCCATTCAGTATAAATCTAAATAGAGCTAATTATGTCCATCACACAGTTACGTGGGAGTACAATCAGTTTCTAATATTAATATAATAATAATTATTATTATTATTAAATGCATAATGTTTCAAAATGGTCACCTAACTTTTGTTTATTTTGTACTTTCAGAAATACAAGCACAAGTTAATACTTTGTCATTTTAGAACCAAAAATAAAACATATATTTGGGTGGACTGAAATGGCTCTGATGGGAAATACAATCTGTGTGTGCTTCTACCACGTGTGTGGTCTCCAAGACCATAAATTGGCAGCGGATACTACAATTAAGAGGAGAGTTAAACATTCTCACAACGGCTCACTAGACAAAAAACTAAAATAGAGATTTCCATCTGTTCTGTCAATAGTAAAATAAAATACACTTTAATGAAGCCTCACATGATCTGTAATCTCTTAATGTCACTATACCTAACTATAACTAAAAACCAGAAGAACCAGTTTGAAATGAAGATAAAATATTATGTTTAGTTTCCATGCTAATTAAACACAAGTCATGCAGTATGGCTCACTTGTCCTAGGCGTTTGTCATTTCCGCTTTACAACTCAGAAGATAAATAATACATGTTTTGCATGTACTTTATAATTCAAAACGACCATTTTAAAATGTTTTTTATTGGGCTTCATAGATGCTTCAATATAACATGATTAAATTACAATGCACTTGACTCCTGTAAGTACAAATAAAAAAAGGAGCGAAAAGTGACTATTTTGCTGGACAAGCTACCCAGAGATCCATTTCTACTGGTCAAATCTGTACCTGAAGTATAAAGACAGGATACCCTGAAAGCTAGCCCAGAAAAACAAATGGTTCTTTTCAAACAATTAACAAATCCATCACGTACAATGCTCTGTTTCAATACATGTACTTGAGTCCTAAATACAACTGGGATCTGCTGCATTGCATTCAAGGTTGAGATTTTTTGTTAATTTTGCAGTTATTTTTTATGTAATATCATTTTCGTTGCACAAATTCTATTCATTTTGATAAAGGGGTTCAAGTGGATCTTTATCCCATTTCTCGAAGAAGCACATTGGCATGCAGCTCTGCATGTGGACATGAAATCATCTATTGGTAAAAAAAAAAAGTATTCTTTTTTTTTTTGCTTTGATTTATAAAGTAGTTTTTTTTCATGTCCTGGTTGAGTGAGGCCCTGGCGATGTAGCCCTGGCCTCACAGATGCATCCTGGGAAGTTACATCACCAGTGCCTTCCTGGAAAATGTTATCCATAAGCTGCAAAATCTCCCGCGATCTCAGGGGAAAGGTATTTATTTCCCCCTTGAGGTAATGTGCATTGTCACATGTTCCAGGATGCACAACCAGTGTTCCAGTGAGTAAAGGGAGATGGATTAATCTGCCCTAAGTGAAAATGGCCACTATGAAAAGAATGGGAAGGAAAGGAAAAATAAGGTATGCTACTGTTAGTAGCTTGCCGTTACTACACATTTCTACCTTTGTTGTAGTATACGAACAGACCGCACTATCCACACCCCCAACCAGCTACAACCTCTCACATGTTTCACCCGTAGTCTGATTCATGGACCTCTATAAATAAGCCTACGGGTGAAACATGTGAGAGGTTGTAACTGGTTAAGGGTGTGCAGTGCTGGTATTTGTTGCTTTATACACTTATCCAGATATACTGGATTTGCTGTGAATTTCAATAAAGTCTGAAGTATTGGAATTCTCTGGATACTGTGGTCTGTTCGTATAATACCACATTCCAAGGTGGAGACGCACCTATTAGACCAGAACCTGGGGAGTCCTGATAGCAAGGAATTGGAGCGATGAGATTTTTTTTGGCTCTACATTTCTACCTGTGTTGTTATTTTTAAGATAAGGATAAAGTTCCTCTTTTAGGGTTACTTTATGGCCTTATGTTTAGGATTGGTTAAGTACTGGGTTTGGGGATTAGGTTAAGGGCTAGGTTATGTTTAGTGATAGGTTTAGGGAGCTAGGTTAGGACTCACTCAAGTTGGTGCTTACTTTGGGCTAGCCAAAGAAAGAAGCCACTACTCCAAAATTACCCCTGTGATAGACTACAATCTCAATACAAATTCATGAACTAAAAAAAAGGTAAGATTATAGTCCATCAAGGAAGCAAGATTGGAGCAGCGGCTACTTTACAACACACACAGGGACTATGGGGAACAAAAGTAGCCACCCTCCAGAAGGAAGGACAGTGTCAGCACCAATTCAGAGACGATTGGACTATCTGCAGCGGAGTGACACACAAATAAGATACATTTTTGTTGATAGTTAAAGGTACTTTATTACATTTTTAGGATTTAACGACTGAGTTTAGTGTCACTTTAAAGACCAACACAGTGTCTCCTGAACACGAATGCTAACCAGATTTCCAGATACACTTTTACAGAACTTATATTTCTTTCAAAGTAAATATGACCTTAAAATGCCTACTCCCTGAAGATTTATTGTTTTCCCTCAAAAAGGTCCAACTAAACATCCCCAAACTAGTGACCACTAGAGAAAGTACTCCAGTACTCACAGATACCAATTACTGATACCTTTATTTTAGTGTCATGTGGCAGTTTTTCTAAACAATACTGAAGTAAAAGTGTAGATGAGCATGTGCTGCTGTGAAGAGGTTTAATGCAAACCTGTTGCTTTAACCTGCATGCGTAAAGTATAGGCTCATATTAAGTAAATGTTAAAGCAATTAAACATCTCAACTTCTGGTATGGGAGCTTCTACATGTATATTAAAGTATTACTAAAGAATCTGCAAAACCAGCACACAATGCTCTTCCAAAAATAATCAAATTGTATTCCACATACATCTGTACAAACAACCACCGACGCGTTTCTGCCTTGCTCATAGCGGTGACTAAGGCCGAGTAAAGCAGAACAAACAAACGTGCCAGCAGTTGTTTTTTGTACAGAGGTCATCAGAGCACCAAATGTGGATTACAAGAATGCATAACAGGGGTGAGCTGTGGGTTTTGTGGTTCTTTACATTACTAAAGAACACTAAAGAATCGTTAGTAGGAGGAAAATGGGGGAAGGCTGTGTGAAGGAATACTAAGCTCGGTAGCATTGCTACTCAGATCTAGAACCATAATTGCCAACCAGTGTGCTCACTGGACTTGTGCTCACTGGACTAAAGCCAAAAGGTTTGGGATCTACTTTGATAAATAGAATGAAAATTATCTTTTTCTGCTTCCATTGTAACAGCTGGGTAAGAAAGCCATCAAGAACAATCCAAAAAGGTAAGAAAGCCAACATTAAAAACAGCTCCCATTATACTTCACCCAAAATAATTATTTTGCTAAAAACATGACCCAAAAGCCAAAATGTTTTACCCCCATATTTATTAAAGTAGGGAATAGTTACAACTCCCGTCATTGATGATATTTCCCTTCACTTCCTGTCCTGTAGAAACAAGAGGAAGCAAGAAGAAAATCCATTCTTAGTTGTCACCAAACAAGTGTTCCTACTAGAAAACTTTACCTTTACTCCTGTCCTAGTAAAAACTAAAAATTTGGGATTTTGCGGCCACTAGAACAGAGCATGAATCTCCCCAGCGAGGACACAGGTGGCAAATTAAAACGGGGTCCTAACCCCTCACCACTGTATGCAAAACTAAAAACCTTTGATACATTTTAAGTTCTGAGATTTTAAATTTGGCACCTTTATTTGAATCTTTTCCTATATAACAGATCTTTAAGTATTACCAATGACCCTCAATTACCTGTGAAAGATTCTGTAGTGAACTCCTGATGTCATGTAGCACCCGACGTAGCTGCATTTCAGTAGTGGAAGGAGGAGAGCTTATAGGCAAAGCACAACCGGAGCAGGATCTGTGAAGTGATCCATATCCAAACCTTTGATTAAGTGAACAGGAAAATGGGGACATTACTGAACCGCATGTAGCACCAGAAAAGTTAGGAACGCTATGTGTGCTCCATGCTCTTGAATGTTCACATAGCGGTCGCTCATGCCAGTCAGATTGTAGGGAATGGAGAGAGCAGGAGGAATGAGATCTATGTGATGGGGTATGTATTGTGCAAGAATGTGATCTGTTAAGTTGATCTTCTGACACTTGACCCTGGTTACTTTTTTGGGCCTCCTTGGTATCCGACACCGGGAACGTGTATGCCATGGATTTAGTAGTGTCTACTTCATCTATTTGCTCCAAAGATTCGTCTTCCTCTGGGGTATACTTGTAGGAAAATGATGGGGGGCTACACACAGTTGCTTTGCCAGAATTCAAGACAATGTTGACTTTGGATACCACTTTTACAGGATTTAAAATTGCAGAAGGCAAAGACTGAGTCCTCCTTAATGGGTATCCAGAGGTTGAGAACTTGTGCCTCCGTTTCAGCAGGTCCTTTGAAGACACTGTGCTACGCCCAGTCCTTGTCCCCACAGTCTCAGTAGATCCAAACAGTTTCTTTTGAGCCCTCTGTAGCGCAGTATTAACACGATCCACAGAATTTGAATCAGTTCTACTAAAACCAGAATAGCCATCATAGTCTGAAAAACTGTCCAATGTTTCCGATATATGGTGAGTGGTGTAAGAGATAGCTGCATAATCACTTTGTGTTTCCAACTCACCATCTTCTGTACAGTCCTGCTGTAATTCAGAATCCTCCTCACTTACGTCCTGAGCATTATCCACAGCAGCGCTGAGGTCCCCGCTGGTTTCGCACACCTCATGTTGACTTAAGCCTAGTGTACTGGCCTTTAGGATGTGCTCTTTTATTTCGTTATCCTCAAAAAATGATTTTCGTTCAACAGGAGTTAGAAACTCATCATCATCTAAGTCAATGGATTCGCTCTGATCAATTGCAAGTGGGGTTCTTAGGTCCTCTCCTACAGAAGTTACTGTTGTTTCACTATCACAGCTGTCAGCACTACTTCCCATTGCTTGCAAAGAGTCTTGAACCTGTTTAACCAAATATAAGACAGGGTTGAAGCTGGAATGTCTAAAACACAAGCACAGTAATCTATATATTAAACTATTCAATGAAATGCTAGCAGAATACTTCTTAAAAGGAGAATTATAAGAGCGAAATACACTCATCCACATAATAAGAGCCGCGGTGTGACACTGAAGCTGATCGAGAATTGAGCGATTAGCGGTGTGTGGTACTGTCAAGTCACCACACTCCGCAGGGATTTCCCCTCCCCCCCCACTCTCTATACCTCCAGCACTGACTTGAGGAACAGACGGAGGAGGGAGCGAGCAGAACCAGCTGTCAATCAGGCAGTGGGGTGGATTCCAACAATATTGTAGGGATCCGCTCCAGCTGCCGTGCAGCTCTGCGAGCATATAGCGGGGAAACGGCCCATTATATACTGAGTTTTGGGTTACAGGAGAACATTAGTATATGTCCTCCTGTGACCCTAAAGAAAACTATGGCAAAAAAAGGTTGGGCAATAGTTCTCTTTTTACCTTTTTTTTTAAAGGGATTGTTCCTGACCATTTAATTTGGGCATCACGTAGGTTAATTGTATATTTTCTTATAATACAAACTGCTTTTGCTCTGTAGATGACTGATGTATCTAAATGTGAGAATTTTCTTGAAGTCACAGTGACATCAAATATTCATACAAATTGAGCATCACAACAATGCCCTACACGAGGTGTGGAGCTTCATAAGGGGCTTTTTTGATACAGGTGTGGCCTACCATACCTTTCAAAATATTCTAAAGTCATTACAAAAAAAAATAAAAAAAATGCAATGGGCACCTACTACAAAATATAGCATTTCAAAGACTATAGGCGTCATAAAATCAATAAAGATCATCTCAGAATTCGTGCTGACACTGGAGGGTGGCTACTTTTGTTCCCCATGGTCGTGTTTTAAAGCTGTTTCCCATGATAGACTATAACTCCAATACAAATTACCTAACTAAACATGAGATTGTAGTCCATCACGGCAGTGAGCTTGGCGCATTGGCTACTTTACAACACACAAAGAAACCATGGAGAACAAAAGTAGCCACCCTCGGGAAAGACGGACAGTGTCAGTACAAATTCAGAGATGATTTTAGGATTGAGCGATACACAAATGAGCTAAATTTTTGCCAATAGTTAAGGCAGGGCTCAAAATTTCAGGTCCTGAGCTACTAGCCAGGCCTTCAAAGTTACTCGCCACCAGTTGCCCTGCATAACACAAACACACACACACAGGGCACAACGCGCACACAGCACAACGCACAGAGCATTACACATACACATTTCATCTGAAATTTTTAGTCTTCGCACATGTCTAATAATATGCATGTGGGGGGAGCAGTTTTCACTTTTTTAAATTTTGTTTATTATAATTTTTTTTATTTATTTTATGATTTATTTATTTTTTACTGTTGGGGGGGCTTCGGGGAAATATTAGGGGTCCAAACAGACCCCTGACATTTCCTTTTTAAAATAGAAAAGAAATTGGACACCAAATCCTCAATTTCTTTTTTTACCGTCCTCAGCACTCAGTGAATGGGAAGCACTCAGTACAGAGGCTTCCCATTCATTCAGACACTGATAGTAAAATATTTACTATCAGCGGTTTCAGAATGGGGAGGAGCCTCTGTACTGAGTGTTTCTCCCCATTGAGAAATTCATGAATGAACAGGCTGTGATGTGAATCACAGCCTGTTCATTCATAACTGGGGACACATAATACTATGTGTCCCCAGTTATTTACAAACACTGGAGTGATCAGACAATCGCTCCAGTGTTTGTCCTTCTCACATGGAGGATCGGTAAATATCAATGATATTTACCGATCCCCCACTCTGCCACGCACAGAGCCGCTGTCATCCTGAAACTGACAGGATGACAGATATCAGAGCCGCTGTCATCCTGAAACTGACCAACCCGCTCGGCCATCCTGACAGCTGCGGGCGCGGCTTCTCTCCCCCTCCCCGCTCCGCCATCCTGACAGCAGGCAGCGCTCCCTCCTGCGCCCTCCTGCTTAGACGGACGGACGAGGGAGCGCTGTCATCAGGTCGGTGAACAGGAGAGAAGCCGCCCCGAGGAGGCTTCATTTCCACTCGCCCCCACGCAATTTTCACTCGCAAATTGCGAGGGGGCGAGTGGAAATTTTGAGCCCTGGTTAAGGTACCTAAAATGTATTTTTAAGCTTTAACTTCCGAGTTTGGTGTCACTTTAAGTAGGTTTGGGCAGAATATAATCAGTGCTGTTCCAACAATCTAGAACATGCAAATGGCATAAACCTAATCTTGCTCAGCTTTTCCAGTAAGGATACCTGGGTCTAGCTCATTATACTGTTAGGTTTAGAATGAATCTGGGTAAAAGAATTATTTAGTTCAGATGCCTTAGAATAAAATTGCACACTCTGCTAAGTATTTTAGTTAACACCTTACAATAATTTACTGTCAAGATTGTCGATTTACAGCAAGTTTTTACCGGAAGGGAATTTGTTAGGCAGTCACCCGATGTGTCTTCAGCAAAGCCACTGCTGTCAGAATGCTGGCTTGCAGTTCTCAGCAGATTATCTGAAAAGATATAAAGGAATAATATCAGGCATCAGAAAAGCTTTATGTTCTTCGTGGTTAAAAAACCCCCCAAAAAAACAGTTCCTTAGTATTTATAAAGTAGGTGAATCATAAAAAAAGGATGCTATACTCAAACTGATATGAAGTTATACAAATAACTCCTCTACTAGTTCACCAAGTTGCTCGGGGTGGTATGGGTTCTTGGGGCACATACACTACAACCAGGACGCAAATTCCCACATCTCTTTCTTGCAGAAACCCAAGGTGTGGAAGAGCCTGGAGCCCTCCAGCCTCAGGCTTCCTCTATTCACTTGTTCAATTCACTGGCCAGTATCAAGGGCACTTACAAATATTTCCTTACAATTTATGAAGTGTATTATAGTACGGGTATCCAATAATTCTTAGCTTGAAAATTTTAAATTGTTAATCTCAGTGAGTTTGCTGTATCTGAAAACAAATAGAGAGGCCCCCTTGTTCATTATTATTTCTTTTATTATGTTTTTCAGTTTTTTTAAATGGGTACTAGTTCACGGATGCATGTGGTAGCCAATCTACCTCCCACCACCAACAGCATAAAGTTTGGAAAAGCCTGGTGATGTTCATCAAATGGGTAAATTGAAAGGGTAGGCTGCCTTTTAAAGGCCCCATCCTCTAGAAACGCTGTACCAATGTGAATGTAGATGGGAATTACAGGCCGATATCAACATAACACAGACTCTACATTTTTGTGACTATTATGCTTTTAAGGATAACACCCCATGTTCCTGGCTGGTATATTTTTCAT